ATTGCTCCTGTCTTCTAATCTACTTGGTTAATCATTACTAGAAAAGAAGGTAAATTTTTATTAAAGAAAAAGTGCATAAATTTGGTTAGGATTTTAATCAACCCAATTCACCCCCCTCTTGGTTGTCTTTGGGACTTACAGTTAAGTAAGTTAATTAGTAGGTTAACTTTCGTCCAAGAGAGACCCAATGGGCTAGCCGATTTTCCCTTAATGTTTTCCAAGCTTTATTAGGTTAGTCAAGGCTATAAATAGCCCTAAAGCTAATGTTACATTTAGTTTTTGCGATATTATTAATAAAATTCCAAAATTTCGTCCATTCTTGTGGCAAATTCCCTTAGCTTATAAAAGCTAGTTTGAGCATCGTAGAGTTGATCCTAGGTTGTTTCTTGACTTATCAATCAAGCAAGCACACTTGATTGTGGCGTCCTCTACCGTTGAATTTGTTTTTGAGTGGTCCAAGTTTGGGTTCAACTCCATCAATTCCGCAACGTGTCATCTAAGATCCCAAGTTTGCTTCTGCATTCACATCATTGTATGTCTTACATGCTCCTTTGTGCTTATGTATTTAAATGTTTTCATTAGAATTTGCATCTACATATCATGTCTACTTGTTTGTGCTAAGTATTTTTATGTGTTTACCTGTTTCATTTTATACTTAGATTTGTTTATTATATTAATGATAATAAATGTTTGGTGCTAACATATTAGTCCAATGCTAGTTGTGATCCTTTTTCCTATTTTCCTTGCTAATCCAATATTAACTAGGACTTGTAGAATGGACTAGTCCCATGCTAGATACTTAGACCTCTTCCACCATATATTTATTTATCTTGTATTATTCACATCATTTCTATACACTTTTCTATTTTAGGGCATTTTTCTCATTTGCTTGGTATTTCCTATTTATAGATATTTCCATCCCCATGTATGCTTAAATCATTCTAGAATTGCATATCATATAGGAATTATGAATTAGATAGTTTATTTACCTATTTAGGATTAGAGAGTCACTTTTCAAATATAGAAAATGGGTAAGTATGACTTTTAGTTTTAACATGCTATTATCCCTCTTCAAGAAGAAATATTTTTTTCATGTGTTCTAGTCTTCGGTATTCATTATGTTGCATTACCTTTTCTTTGTCCATTTATACACACAAATACAAGTTCTGATATTCATTTCTTGGAGTCTCATTTTGCATTACCGGTGACTCCTTCAAGTAACATTTTGGACACAATTCATGCATTAGTATTAATTAACCCATAAAGAGCCTTTTTTTTTCCTAACTTGATATCTCCTAGGTTTTAGGTCTTGCATTAATTTAAGTAACATCCAAATGTGATAAGTTCAATTGTTATTTTGGGAAATATAGATTAAGCCTTGCAACTAGCTCTGACTAGGTGTGAAAGGGTACTTAGAGTTTGAGCAATCGGATACTAGCCTTCCATCACCTCAATTGTAACTTCTAAATCTTTTTCTCTTGTTTCAAATGCCAAGAGTTGTTTGAAAATGGTCAAAATTTTTTTCTTTTAAAACTATATTTTATGGTGAATTGGTACACCTAAAATAATACCAAGTGAAAACTCCTTTTTCTTAAAAAAAATCCTTTTTAGACTATTTTTTTGGGTCAAATTGTTACATTTTTAAAAATCATATTTTAGGCCCTTTTATTTTTCAAAACCATATTTCTTTTAAAAAACAATGTACTTCTTCTTTCTCTTTTGATTGAAAATGGGGCGCGACACCTGAAACTATTACATGTTATATGATGTATCTTTAAAGCTTATGCTAATCCTCACATTGGACGAGAAATTTTACTTTTAGCTAATTTACGCTATAAATGCTTTTATTTGTACCACTGTGGCTAATTGTTAATCATGTCAATTGGCCGTATCATACTCAACTCCAACTTAGATGCATCATGTTATTTATGGGTTTGGATTAAGATGTATCATCTTATGGGCATGAATTTAAAGAGAGGATTGGAGTATTAGCTTTCCCCTTCAGTGCCTATACTGTCTATCCCAAAATGATTTTAACTAAAGAATTAGAGAGAGACACTTTTTCCTAAACTGATTTCTTTTGAAAAAATTTTGGAAATGGTAATCGGAATTTTCTAGCTACAAAAGAAGTGTATAAGTTTCAACAAAACCTTGTCAGGGAATTGGATATATATATATATAATTCCTATGAATTTACTAAATTGCTTACATTTGGGACCTACTGTTGACTAGAACTACCACATGACTCAAATGCCTTATGGACAAGACCCACAGACAAGTGGAATTTAATACGGACTGGCCGCCACATGTTTAAACGCCACGTAGGAGGGACCAATTGAGCATATGACTTGGCTGCCATTTGGAGTTTACATGGCAGTCTAGTTGACTTCAATATGTAATGTAATCATGCACTAGACTTTAATAACTATTTTTAAGTAAGGTTTAGTTTTACATAATAATTATTTTTAATGGAAAAATCAACTAAATAGCTATTATTGGGTGGTTCCTTTTTTTTTTTGAAAATTGGTGAGTTTTATATAACAAAAATAGGAATTTATACTCTAACCATTAACTTTCCCCTCTTATCTTTCTCTACAATTCAAAGAAGATTAGCAGGGAATTTTGAATCAAAAATAACTTTATCCACCCTATTGAGATAACTAATCATAAAATCAACAACTTGATTACATTGGCAATATACAAAATATATAGTCAGCTCCTTGAAACATGAGATTAAATCCTTTATGTCATAATATGCAACTAGAGCCCTCCAAGGACAGTCACTTTTACTATTTAAGATATCTGCAGCAAGTTTTGAATTAGTGCGAATCTCAATACGTTTCCATCCCTTGAGTTTAGCAAACACCAATGCTTCCTTGATGGCTTCCAACTCATGGATTAATATTGAATCAGCGCATACTCCAATAGACCTAGCTGCTAAGATGTCACCATTCTCATCTCTAAGGACGAAGCCTTCACCCCCTATGTCTCCTCGAATTGATCCATCACAATTCAACCATTTAATTCCAGGTTTAGGAGCTTCCCATTTGCACCAGAATATAGTTGGATGAAAGAACGCAGCTTGAAGTCCCCATTTTGCAGCTAAGAATCTGTTGCTCAGGTTGTCCTTAACTTCACAGTTTCTCCCCTTTTGTACATGATCTATAATAGTCTGGGCTAATGCTGTTGGTGGTTTGCTTCCCTGCTGAAACAAGCGGTTGTTCCTTTCTTGCCATATGAAATAGACAGCAGCACAAAAAGATAGCTTGCGTAAGAGACCCTTTGGCTCTACCCCTCTGATATGTGAACAAAGCCAATTGAGAATTTGTGACCAATTTTGAGTCTAATTGAAAGTCAGCCCAAGAAGACCAAGGAGAATTTTCCACACAACCTTACTATAAAAGCAGTGAAAGAATACGTGGTGAACAGTTTCAATATGCAACTTACATAAGCAACAGGTCTCATCATTTGTAATACCATATTCACACAACTTGTCTTTTGTTTGGAGTGCTTCTCTTAATGCCAGCCAAGCAATGAAAGAATATCTTGGTACTAAACCTTTAAACTAGATCAGATTATACCAATGAACTCTTTCCTGTCATGTCCGGATAGCATTCCAAGCAGATTTGGTAGTGAAGTTCCCTGAAGGTGAGGGTCTCCAAATGATTTTGTCTTGCTGGTTCTTCAATCTTGGAATAGAGTGCAATTCCTACCAAAAGATGCTTAAACATGGAAGAGATATATACATGGTTCGCCATATCAGCCGATTCCGAGTTGACTGACCCGAGTTATAATTGAAACGAAAGCCACCGGTATGATATCGACACCCGAGTCACCGTTTGATCGGGATCGGAGTTGACTAGCATTGATTCGGTCAGTATTGACAAAGTCAACTTAGATTGACAAGAAATCAACAGAACTCACTGAGTTTGGCCGAGTCAAATCACAAGTCAAATAATCAAAGTCCCAAGTGTCGGTCGACAAACAAATCAACCGCAAGCAAAGTCAAAAAACAATCGAGTAGCATAGACATAAATAGGGAAGAGAGTTTAGCTTTGAGTTTCAACAAATTCTCCCTCCCTAACTGCTAAAGAAGCGAGTATTCTGAACAAATATGTCATCACCTGGACTTCAGAGAATGCTAACTTTGTCTGGTAATCAAGTTTTCTCATCAATCTCTAAGATCCTTTCGTACTTGAGGCCATTTTACAAAAGTTTTTCTGGTTCTCAGATCCGTCTTACAAGTGCTGCTACTCGGGCTCGGATTTGCAGTGAATCAACTTCTAAAGCACTACAATGGTGAACACCCACAAATAGAGTGGGAAAGTGGGTTTTCAGGAAGATAGTAAATGGATTGAAAAGTAGAGCTAGGGATGTAGGAAAGGAAGAGATACAGATCAATTGGAGAAGATGAGAACCTTTTTTCGAATGGAAATGAAAACGAGAAAGTTTTTATGTGGGGATTGGTTTTAGGCCAATCAAAAAGACAATTGTCGGTACTGGACGACGAAATGGATTTTGAAATTTATTAACATTCTCTAAAATGGGTACTGTTAATAATCCCGCAAGTACTGAAACCATTAAATGAACACCCAACAATTTATTTGGTACTGTACGAAGTATTTGAAATACGGGAAAGAAATACCATTCCGGTAATATTTTCAAAGGAGTTACAAATGGATCTTAATTACAAAGTACTCCCTGTAATTATGAATCAGTAGCAAATTTCCACTATATTTACAAAAAATATTTGCTTTTAATACTATAAATCAATAATTAGAGCAGCGCCACTTTCTTCAATTACTTACCTAGTTTTTATGTTAACGTACGTTTTTATCAAATTTAATTTGATAGTTGTATTAGTTATAGTATTTTTTATTTTTAGTAATTTTTCTAATTTTTTAAAAAAGCTTTATATGCTCTAACTTGCATATCACCCAATATTTAATTGATATACCGTGACAAATATGGAACAACCGCGATTCCGACGCGAATGCGACCTATGACGGCGAACCATGGATATATCTGGTGGCCTCCATTGCTCTTCTGTGGATAATGTTTGAAACTTTGTCGAACTTGCTATCCATAGTAATCAATGGAGTAGCCCAACTGAAGGAATCCCAAATGACACCTCGAGGATGCCATGGTTTAAGCCAGAGATAAGTAGAATTACTATTGCTGATGAGATGAGTGATCAACTTTGAAGCTTCACCCTTGGCCTTAAGGATGCTACGAGTAGCCTATGAGCATGAGTAAGGAGTTTTCATAGTCCAGATAGAATCTTTTTTGAGATATTTTCCCTCAAACCAGAGAACCCATAGTATCTCCTTAAAGGACACAATACACCATAGATGCTTCATAAGGTTGGTTGTATTTAGGGGTGCAATCAAGTCAAGCCGCTCGCGAGCGGCTTGGTCAAAAGCTTGGCTTGAGCTAGGTCAAACCGAGTTCAGGCTCCAAAAATAAATACTCGAGTGTTCGACGAGCTTAATCGAGTTTTCATATTATATTTATATTATATATTCATATTATATTTATATTATATATTTCAAGAATATATTATAAGTTTAGTTCAAAACTCGAGCTCGAGTAGATCGGGTTTGATATTTATTCGAACTCAAACGAGTCGAGCTCGAGTCCAAATTTATATACTCGTTCGAGCTCGAGTAACACTGATTGTGATCGAGTTCGAGCTTGAGTATGGTGCTACTCGAGCTCGACTCGGCTCGATAGCACACCTAGCTGTATTGCATTCAGCTAGTTTTCGTATCCCAAGTCCTCCTTCTTGTTTTGGAATTGTGACTTTTTGCCAACTAACTTTTGCTTGAGCGGGGCCAACATCAAAGCATGTCCAAAGGAATCTACATAGCATTTTCTCTAATTTGTCTTTGATAGCAGCTGGGATTCTGAAAATGTTGAACTAGTAAAGAAGTCTTCCCATGAGAGTAGAGTTAATAAGCTATAGCTGACCTACATAAGACAGGAACTTAGCTTTCCAGCTTGAGATCCTACTTGAGATGGCATCAAGAAGAGGTTGGCAACCCCGTGCCTTTAGCTTCTTGGAAGTATGGGGTGCCCCCAAACAAGTTATAGACAACAGCCCCTCATACATGCCTAAGATTCTGCAGATGTCAAGACGAAATCTAGGAGGAGAGTTACCAAAAAACAGACTTGATTTAGACAAATTTGCAAAAAGGCCTAAGTCGGTACTAAAATCATAGAAAATAGAATTTATGGCAGCAGCATTCGAACTAGAGGCTCTAGAAAAAATGAACAAGTTGTCTACAAAAGCAAGATGGGTGACAAGGGGGTTAGTACAAAATTGGTGAGGAACAATCTCACCAGAGTCAAAGCCATGATGGAGCCTATCGAAAAAGTTTTGGAGAACAAGAATAAATAGGTATGGTGATATGGGATCTCCTTGACATAGTCCTCTTGTCCCCAACAAAATACCCCACAGCTTCCTCGTTCACCTTGAATGAGAACTTTGCTCCACATATATAGGATTTAATCCAAAGGATAAACTCCCCGGGAAAATTTAACTTTTTGAAGCAAATGAAGCAAGAAATCCCATCTAACAAAGTCAAAAGCATTCCTCAAGTCTACCTTAATAGCCATGCATGGAGGGCCTATAGATAAGTGGTATATTATGCACAAGCTTGTGACACAACTAGATATTCTCATGGATTAAGCTGTCACGAATAAAAGCAAATTGGTTAGAGCTAATCAAGGAGGGGATCACATGTTGTAGATGGGTGGAAATAATCTTGGAAATAACTCTATATATATAGGACGAAAATCTACAAAAGTTTATGGCTGTGATGACTTGGGCACAAGAGTTACAACAGTAGCATTAACTTCATCCAACATCTTTTTAGATCTAAAAAACAAATTTATAGCTTGAGTAAAATCAGGGCAAATAATATTCCATGAATGTTGGAAGAAACAAGCAGTTAAACCATCAGGTCCTGGGGATTTGTCACCATTCATACTAAAGAGAGCATTCTTGATTTCGTTTGAGGAGATATCATTAGAAAGCCAAGCAGCATGCTCATCATTGAGTACGTTAGATGGGTTGACCTCAAGGGGAGTGGAGGAAGGTTGGCCTGGAGGAGCAAAACGTTGTTGGAAATAGCTGATAGCTTCTTGCTTGATGTCATGCTCGTCTTCTAACATCCTCCCCAACATGTCCTTGATCCTGAAAATTTTGTTGTGAGTTCTACGAGATTGAAAAGTCCTAGCCACAGGCCTCTTGATCTTTGTCTAAGAGCTGATTCGTCTATAGTAAGTGCCTCAAATAACTCGTGAGATCTGCTTGATTCCTTGACTTGTAACTCTCTATCCATAGGTAGCAAATCAAGTGATTGTTGAACCATAGCAAGTTGATTCCTGAGATCCTCTATCCTTGCAGATACATTACTATAGACTTCACTGCTCCTAGTTTTGAGACGATTTTTTAAACGTTTAAGCTTTTGAGTTAGGATATACATAGGATTACCAATCAATGGAGTAGCCCATTCATATTGTACTATGCCCATAAAGGTAGGATGTTTCACCCAATGGTTAAAGAAGTGAAAAGGTCTCGAGGTGCGAGAGACACCCTTGCAGAGAGTAATGACCATAGAAGAGTTGTCGAAGATACTTGGATTGAGAAACAAAGCCTCTGTGCCCCCTAGTTTCATATTCCATCCATAATTAACTAACACCCTCTGTGCCCCCTAGTTTCATATTCCATCCATAATTAACTAACACCCGATCCAGCTTCCAACAAATTCGGTGGATGCCATCCTGTTTGTTTGTCCATGTATATTTCAAGCCTCTTCATTTAAGATCATCCAAGCCACAATCAAACAAACAATTTTCCAAATGAGCAATCCATGGGATTTACCATAAGTCCCCCAATCTTCTCATCCATTTTTAGTACCATATTGAAGTCACCAAAACCAATCCATGGGTAGTTATTGTCCACATTTAATTGTACTAGGTCATGCCATAGGCATTCTCTTTCATCAATAGAGTTACTAGCATAAACAAAAGTAGCTAATAATGACAAAGAGGACTATTTATCAACAATTTTAGTATGTACAAATTGACTTGACAATTAAATAGTTTTCATCGATGCCTTTGCTGGATCCCAAAAAACCCAAATCCTTCCATTATGATAGCATGCATAGTTGTGTAGTTTAACTAGATAGGGCCCAATGCCTCTAGCAATTCTATCAGCATTTTTCTGTTTTACACGTGTTTCCAAGAGTCCAAAAATAGATACTTTGTTATTCTTGATCCAGTTCCTTATTTCAGATTTTTTTGCTTCAGAGTTCATACCTCTGACATTCCATGCTCCCATAACTGTCATTGGCATTAAGAGGAATAAGGACCAGGGCTAAAACCCCCTTTCAATAGTACCTTGGTCACAAGAGGATCCATTGGTGAGTCGACAATAGAAGACATTTCATCACAAACCTTTGTCACTGAGGTACACTCATGAGATTGTAAGGCAATCGAATCCCAGGCAGGAGGAGGAACAAAGTTTCCTGGGGATGCATGAGAAGTCTAGTTGTGATCATTCGCTTGAGTGTGGGGGATATCTGAATTTTCCAAAGGAGCTAGTGAGGCAAATCTATTGTCATTAGTAATCAGACAGGCTTTTTGGGGTAAGGTGGTGGATGCTGATGGCATAGATGAAGAAGATATATGTGGTTTCAAGGGAAGAGGCTTTGTAGTTTGGTGTGTCAAGCTTTCCGGAGCTAAAACATGAGGTGAAATAGTGGGCAATTTATTGGCTTTAGAGTTGACGGTTTTCGGTGGGTTAGTGGAAGAAAGTTTAGGGGTGGGTAAAGGAGGCCTTTAGGAGCGAGGTTGCCTTCATGGGGGTTATGGCCCAAATCCTTGCAATGGTTGAATCTCTGGGGCCTCCACTCATACACTAAAGGCTAAGAAACCTATTTGTCATCTTCCCTGACAAATTCATCTAAGTAAGGCAACTTGTAATCTACTCCAATCTCAACATAGACCCTTGTGTAAGTTAGTCTAGCTTTGTCAGCAGTCAGTTTATTAAAGAAAAGAAGCGTGCCAACCAAACTGGTAATCCTACCTAGGGAATCATTACCCCAATATTGCAATTGCAATCCAGGAAGACGAATCCAAATTGAGACAGTAGTCACTCCCAATTTTTCAATATCCAAGCTTGGTGACCAAGGGATAAGAATAATAGGTTTACTTTCATTGGACCATGGACCAGATTCCAAGATGTATTCTTTATCCGATGCTCTCTTGAAGTCAAAGAAAAAATTTCAATTTCCAAGAGTGTAGACTTTGGACAATGTATCTGCTTTCGAATTCCTTTGCACAAACTTTAGCATATTTTGATGAGAAGGGAAAGAACCCAAAACAAAGCTGACCAATGCATTCTTCCAATGTTCAATTCTAGTTGAACAGAATGTTTTGGACAAACAACAACCCATTTACCATTTATGATTGAAGAGGGGACGAAAGAAAGAGCAGCATTTTCGCTTCAAAAGTTATTTGAAGCAAGTATGTTGGATTGAGAGGGTATAGGCTTTGAATCTGAAATTTGTTCTAATGAGACAGTAGTTGGTTCAATAGAGGCGATTGTCAACTCAACAGTTTGTGGTGGGCAAGTTGGTGAGCTTTAGACATTAATTGATTTTATTTGGTATAGATACCAAATTCTTATCTCGTACCTAAAAATTTTGTTTGCCAAAAGACCTTTGTTGCACATTTTTCAAGTCATATTGTGTATATTATTTTTTAGAAGTTAAGTATAATTTTTCTAAGTTAATCCTTTATTTTGGTTTCTGATTAATTTAAATTTGTTTTGGCATTTTAGAGGTACTACAAATAGGATTCCTTTTTTTTTTTCATTCTTAAGTGGTTCCTAAGCCTCGCAAATTAACGTGTTGGTTATAATTTGTTAGGCCCAAATTCAAATCCCAAAGTGAATGACCAGCATAATTGGCCCTTACCCAAATCCCATTCTTGTCTTCCAAATAATAAATAAATAAGAAAAAAAACAGAGGACAAATCAAATGTAGGACCGTTGTACTTGGTCCAATTTCTCAAGTTTCCAGAGGGATTCCTCATGTTCTTGTCACATGGTCATGCAATAATTTTCCTTCTACACAAGAAACACACCTCACCTCTCAATTCTTGATCCCTCTCGGTTCTCTTTCCACAATTCACACGCTGACACACAATCACACGCTAACACACAATCACAAGAATTCACACGCAAACACGTGCTACTTTACCCACAACTCTTTCATCTCTCGGCTCTCTCACAGTCACAAATAATTCAGACACAGTCACTTGCTTCTAGGGGTGGATTTAAGGGGGCACTGGGGGCATGTGCCCCATTGCCCCCCTTAAATTTCTAGAATACTTGTACAATTTTAATATAATTTTAAGTGTGTCCCCAGAGTTTTCTTAAATAGAATGTGAAAGAATTACATGATTTTTTAAATTAGTTAATAAACTATAATTCTAAAAGATACGTGGGGCACAAATTCCATTTGAAATAAACTAAAAAAAAACCTTTTCATTTCAACTAGCAAGTACCAATCATATCATTCACTTTCTTTGAACTCCACTCCCCAATTTCTCTTCCCTCCTCTGGGCCCCCATTTTTCTCCCACAACCAAGAGTCACTAGCGGGTTTGTTTGGATAGGGTATTATTTGAAATATTATTTGGAATAATTAATGTTGCACTTTTTGTGATGTGATGTATGTGAGATAAAAAGGTAATTGAGAAGATAAAAAACTGTATTGAAAATTGTAATGGTGATGTCAGTAAATATATTTGGCCAAATAATCTACTGTCCAAACAAATCCAGCCCTTCCACAACCAAGTAGCTAGCTATTCTATCTTTTAATCAATTCATCCAATCATATCATTCACTTCCTTTGTCCCCACTTCCCAATTTTTCTTCCCTCCACTGGTCCCCCATTTTTCCTCCACAACCAAGAGCCATTCTGACTTCCACAACCAAATTAATTATCAAAATATAAAAACTTGCAGCGAGCAATTGTAAATAGTTAGTTTGTTTTTGAAATAAAATTATTATTACATTAATAATTTTGAATTTGTCTTTTTATGTTTTTCTTGGAATATATGCATCATTTGTACTTGTTGGTGAATTTTTTTTTTTGCTTGAAAAACTAGAAAAAGAGTAAGTAAAAAATTTTAGTGTTTCTTTTGCCCCCACTAAGAATTTTTTCTGGCTCCGCCCCTGCTCGTTTCACACACAATTCGCTTTAGTCCACCCCCCAACCCAACCACACACACCACAGTATAACACACGACTCACTCCACTTTCAGGGATATAGAACCAGAGGAAATGGGGAGGGGTCCCACCCCCAAGTTCTAAAAAAGTTTAGTTTTTCTTCGTTAATTACTTAAAATTTTAAAAGAGTTTCTTTTTAAATTTAACTTTTGCCCCCACAAAAAATTAAGAATATTTTAGGTTCCACACTTAAAATTTAGTTGAATTCAAGTTCATCCCTTCAGAAAAAAAGTACAAAAGTTATTAAAGAAAGGTAGTAAATATAAATTTTCTGAAAATCATATAAATATAATAAAGAAAATAAAAGAGTAGTGTAAGAGTTTGGCATTTTTAACTCTACCCCTTGATAAAGATAATCTGATATTGGTGTTTCTAAAGAAATGTGAAGTGCAGTTTTAAAAACTAAAAGTAAATTAGTATGTAGATATTGTGAGGACCCAAAAATTATTTTTAAATTTTCTCCTATTTTTGTAAAAAAATTAATTTATATTTTCTTTTAATTTTACTTTACTTGCTCATTTGCTAGCCTTAATTTGATAGTAATTTTATTGGTTGAATCAAGATTTATATTATTCCCCTTTTATATTTTAGTGCATGTTAAGTTTCGTAGTAATCTGATACTAGAAACTGGTGTTTTTGAAGAATTGTTAAGTGCAGTTTTAAAACTAAAAATAAATTAGTATGTAGATATTGTGAGGACCCGAAATGTGAGAACCCAAAAATTTTCACATTTTCTCAGTATTGTGTTTATTTTCACCTTCCTTTTTAAAAATGAAAAGAATTTGCTATCCATTTCTAAGGAGGATTTGCATTGCATATATGTGAACGTGTGATGTGAGATATGTATATATGTCTATGAGTTGGAAGAGTGGATGAACGCGGCATTTGAACTAGGAAAAGAAGAAAAATTTTGTGAAAAGGGGAAGGACCAAATCCGGCAGCAAATCCGACCAGTTATTGGCTGGATTGCTGGCCGGATTGTTGAAGGGTTTTGAAAAATAAAATTGATTTCTCCTCTGCCTTGAATCCGGCCTGGAATCCAGCCGGAAATCCGACCAGATTCCGGCCGGATTGTGACGTGACACAGGCAGCCACCAACTTTGACCGCCTATTTCCTTCCTTCTTATACTGCTTTTGGCCCCAAAATATCTTCATTTCTTCCCTTGCTCAGCCATGCATCATAGAGAGAAGAAAGAAAGCTCTTCATTTCCTAGTTTCAATTTTTGCTCGAATTTTGAGATTTCACCGTTGGAATTTCAAACTACTCCATACAAGGGTATACTAAGGAGGTTTAAAGCTTTTGACGGAGTGATTTTTGAAAGGGAAGTTTTAAGGTGCTATCTTTCTTGAGTTATAAGGTGAGTTGCTAAGAAAGTTCCCTTTTTGTTTTAATAATGGTATATTTGTGCTTCATAGTGGTTAAATATGTTGTTTTGTGGAAGATTTCATGGGTTGAAAGAGTTTATGGTGAATTTCTAATTTATTGGGTGTTTTTCTGATTTTATATACTAATCATGGGTTGGCCTTGGATTGATATGGTGTTAAATGGAGCTTTTGTGCGTTAATTGCGATTGTTTGCGGAAAATTTCTGGTTTGTGCGGAAATTTCGGTTTTAGGGTTTAATTTGGGGGTTTTTCTATAGTTGGCTTTTAAGCTTCTAATTGGCTTTGATTGAAGGATATTGTGGCCCAATTGAATGTGTTTTATTGCTTATGAACCGTATGTGTGATTGTGGTTGATTCTTGTAAGATTGGGTATTTGATTGTAGGGTGAAAGTGAAGAAATTAGGGGGAAATGCTGGCCGTTTATTCTCTTGTAATTTGAGTGAGTTAAAGTGGATTGGAAATGTGATTTTTGTGTCAAGTTGGACGTATTTCATTGAGAACTATCTCGGTCCTCTTGAAGGAGGTTAGATGAGCTACATGTTATGTAAACTTTTATACTTTCGTATAATGAAGGTGGTGACCATTTTAATCGTTTTCAAACGTGATGCATAGCTACAACTATCCAGTTTTCACCATCAACTGATTACTTATTTCTTGC